TGGCAACGCAGCAGAAGGCTTTCCCACCCCTGCATCTTCAGCCACCACAGGGCCCTGCCTTTCTGCCCCAGCACCCCCATCCACAGGTTCCCCAGCAAGCTGTCTTTCCATCCCTGCACCCCCATTCACAGGTGCACCAGCAGGCAGTCTTCCCACCCCTGTACCTCCATCTGCAGGTGCCCCAGCGGGCTGCCGTTCTGCCCCTGTACCCTCAGCCTCAGCCCATGCCTCAGCAGACATATTACCAATTCAAGCAGCTTCTGGAAGCCCAATGGCCCAAACGGCCACTCTACCAGCTCCAGGCCAAGCAGCCACGCTACCAGCCTTTCATGTCACACTACCAATCCCGATTGCCAAGCTACAGTCCCAAGGTGCCACTGTACCAGGCCAAGAAGCTTCAGCACCCCCTGCAGATCAGATACCAACATTTCATAGCTTCATGTCAGTAAGCCACCCACACTGGCACATCAGAAAACAAAATGCGCAAAATCAATGAATTTATTGTGGGTTTCTTTCAGGCACATCATCCTTGTTGAGGGGAGCAGGCCATGTATAAAAACAATAAGGCAATCTAAGTTTCAAACACTACATTAAATCTATGCCTTTTATTTTAGGAACTGCAGTGTGGAACCTGCTGGACTACTGGACTGACCTTTCAAATGAACATTTAGTTTGTGCTTTATACTCTTGACTACTAAATGTTTTGTATGTGCTGATCCGTTTGATGCCAAGTTTCTGAGCACCTTTGAATGTTTTAAACAGGAGTCTTGAGGTCTGATTTAGCTCATGCTTTTTGTTTTTGTTTTTTGTTTTTTTTGTTTTTTTGTTGTTGTTTTTTTGTTAAGCCTGCAAAAAATAATCCACATCAACCAACACACCAGTGCTTTTCCCAGACTTGTAGAAATTCTTTTGTAAATGGTGAAAAGCTGATACCAAACAAGTCTCTGCAGTCTTTGAGAAATGAATGTTGCATCATAACTGTTGTGACACATGGGGATTCATGGTACCCACATCCAGTCTCTTTAAGATTTTCTCTATTTTATGATTGTGGTTAATGGTTCGTAGAACTTATTTAAAGGTATAAAGGTCTTAAATTAGTGCACCTGTTTAGTATAAGCTTGGTGGGGTAAGTGGGACCAGGTGCCAAATTTCCCCATAAAGCAGCCAAACATTTAAAATGTAACTATAGGGAGGCAGCACGCGCCCAAGAAGCTACTGCAATCTCCCAATTTTTGCTCAAGCTGCAAAGCTGCTGGTGTCTGCTTTCCAGGTACAGCCTAAATACTAACCAAATCTGAAAGAGCACTGGACAAAGATGGGTGTGTGATTAAAATTTGCAGATTATTTTTAATCCCTGTATTCTCACTGCAACACCGAAGATGCTTAGTTTTTTGCATTTGAGCCACTGTCATCTGAACTTGTCACATTAAATTAATATAAAAAGTACTTTCTGCCTTCCTGCCACTTAATCTGTTTTTAGAAATAACACACATGCTAGCTGCACTGCAGTGAACTTGCTGTGAGGTTTCTACCTAAATGTATTGACACACAGGCTGTTTAAACATAACTTGAATTCCTATTGAGTTAATTACTTTAGAAAGGACAAACATAAGTTACATCTTGTACTGATACCTCTTTACTGATAAAGTTAGGGTTTCTTACAATAAACAGGTCAGGTCCCTGTTTATTGTAAGAATGCTGTTATTCACCCACTGTTACAAAACCTAAGCTTGATGCTTCTCTTCTCAGTAGCTACAGACCGATTTCAAAATTACCGTTCATTTCTAAGATTTTAGAAAAGGTTGTGGCTAAGCAGCTTATAGCTGTTCTAGAGGAATACAGCATTCTGGATAAATTCCAATCTGGCTTTCGTAGAGCTCACTCTACTGAAACTACACTTCTTAGAGTCTCCAACGACATTTTGATGAGATGTGATGCAGGAGAATGCTCCGTTCTGTTGATGTTGGACCTGACCTCTGCCTTTGATACTGTGGACCATCATATTCTGCTAGATAGGCTGAGAGGTTTGGTGGGTATATCAGGGGCTGCTTTGGACTGGTTTGAATCCTATTTGCATGAACGATCCTTTTCTGTGGCTACCTCGAAGTACAGTTCCTCTTCTACTTTTCTTGCCTATGGTGTGCCACAAGGTTCAGTTTTGGGGCCTTTATTGTTCTTACTGTATTTACTTCCTCTTCAACACTTATTGAGCACTTTTAAGGACATTTCGTATCACTGCTATGCAGATGATATTCAGGTATATATCTCCTTTAAGCCCCATGATGTTTCCAAGCTACAGATTTTGCACAAGTGCATAGACTCCATTAGATGTTGGATGGCTGGAAACTTTCTTCAACTAAATGAGGAGAAGACTGAAGTTCTTGTTTGTGCTCCTAAAAATTTTGTACCTAGTGTCATGGAAAACTTGGGTCCACTTGCTACATTTGCAAAACAGTCTATCAGGAGCCTTGGTGTTAGTATTGACTCAGCTCTGACTTTGGATGCCCATGTAAAATCTTTGGTTCGCTCCTGTTTTTATCACTTGAGAAACATTGCTAAGCTGAGTCCCATTGTATCGCGCTCCGAATTAGAAATTGTCATTCATGCATTTGTTTCATCTCGTCTGGATTATTGTAATTCTTTGTTTACTTGTTTATGTAAAGCCTCTTTGGAGCGTCTACAAGTTGTTCAGAACACCGCTGCAAAGCTTCTGACCAAGTCCTCCAAGTTTTCCCATGTCACACCCCTGCTGATTCAGTTGCACTGGCTCCCCGTTGAATTCAGAATCCAGTTTAAGGTTTTGACCTTGACTTTCAGGGCTCTGCATGGACAAGCACCAACATATATAAGTGAACTTTTACATCCATACATTCCCAGCAGGTCCCTGAGGTCATGTGACCAGGGCTTGCTTGCTGTCCAACACAAGAGGCTGAAAACAAAAGGCGACAAAGCTTTTGGAACTGTGGCCCCCAGATTGTGGAACTCTCTCCCTTTGAGCCTGAGATCTGTGGACTCAGTGGTCGCTTTTTAAAAAAACAACTAAAAACCCATCTTTTTAAACTTGCTTTTGGTTGATTTTTATTTTTAGGTTTTAGCTTCTGTGAAGCACTTTGTGATTTTTATCTTGAAAGGTGCTATATAAATAAAGTTTTACTTACTTACTCTATTAGTTGGATAAGAGACTGAAGAAATTGGATTCTCACTCAAACATTTGTACACTCTGCACTTCTGGGAGAAATGCTGAAATTTGTATCTAAGAACTTCTCTAGTTCTGTCTTGCATTTTATCTAGCCATACAATCATAAGAAAATCTGAAGCCACTTGAAAGTTACTTGAAAATATACAAATATACACACATACTGAGCAATGTTTTCTTTTTTTTGGACACTGGTAGTTTGGCAAAGAACCCATTTTACATTCATCTTTAGATACTTTACCAGCATAATTTGCAAAACACAACTTGTTCATATTTTTGTTCAAAACAGTTTGACAAGTGAAGGTGATTCCTAAAGAGCTACTAGCCAGCATCTGGCCTTTCACTTGATCCACTGTTCAATAAAACCTTATCACAAATAGTCTCAGTGGAAGAGCATCTGTCAAGAAGCCATCGTTGACAGGGAAAGGCTGGATTATGAATTTAACATTTATTTAAAATATTTAATTCAAATTTGAGTTTTCAGAGTGGGTTTGTTTTATGTTTTGTTGTTTTCTCAGAACCAGAATCTTTGTCATTGTAGCAATGAAACTACAATAACAAAGTAGTTTTATTAGACTAAATAGAGGTGCAGTTCTGTCAGTGCAAAAGAAGTCAGTCACACAAATTAAGTCATGTATATTTTATTCTATTGTACTTGATATAGCTTTACTTTTCTTTACACACACACCCCTATTTTTTTTATCCCCTCGGTCATCCTCTTCAGTAGAGGGCGCACTACCGTAAAGCGTGCACATAGTCGTGTTTACGTTGAACTCCTGACGAAATGATTGGCATCTTTTATCTCGAACCGCATTACAAAGCCTTTATCTCTTAGCCAATCAGGTAATTACATTTAAGACATGTAGGCGGGACCAAAAGCAGCCGTTCAGACGCTCTTCATGTATCTGTCAAGTGAATTGGGTCTGTTTTTTTTAAAAGCTCGTGTCAACAGTTGCGTGCAAAGCTTAATTTGATATTTCCAGTTTGAAGCTGTAGATTTTGGTGTTTACTGATATTCCCACTCAGGTAAGGCGGAATTAAATTCTCTGCTTGGTTAGCTTGGATGCTAATGCTCATTCACAGTGTGGCCGGTTGGCAGCTCATTGAGCAACAAGCCACTTGCGGACGTTTTTCCTTCTGATTTTCGATAAATTCAGCGACATTATTAACGGCAGCCCTTTGTTATGTGTCTCATCAGTGCTACTCCCGCTAGCCTCGGTCCTCTGAGGCAAGTTTTCAGTGCTTCTGTGCTCTTATCTCCCCGCAGCGGACACCATGGGTGAGGTGGAGCTGTCCTGTCGCGCTTACGTGAAGATGTACCTGCACGCCTGCCTCTTTCCGCGCTGTAGCATCAATGGCCTGCTGTTGTCGTCCAGCCCGACAGGTGGCGCTGTTTGCGTGACTGACTGTGTCCCGCTGCTCCACTCCCACCTGCCCCTGGCTCCTATCACCCAGCTGGCCCTTACACAGGTGCTCACAGGTGTTTTTCTGCCCTCACAATTTTGTTTAATAGCACCACAGTCTGGAGCTCTGATCCCGGAGAAGACCTTAAAGACTCCTCGTGATTGTTTATTGTGAAGGCATAAAACCCTGCAGTCAGATATTCTGGACCAAGCTACCAAGTTATTAAGAATTTATAACTGGCATCAGCATTAAATGAAGTTTAAAAGTGGCGGTGGGTGCTCTCCTCCTTCCAGGTGGATGTTTGGTGTTCACAGACTCAGCAGAGGATAGTGGGATATTACCAAGCCAACGCCTGCGTGTCAGATAACAAGTGGGTTTCCAGAGCTTCGTGTCACTAAAGAGGTTTTCATTTGAACCCTGTTTGTTTTGAGATGCGGCAAAGCTGCACATTTAGCCTTTCGTACCTCATGCAGTAACACGTTACAGCTCAGCACATCTGTCTAGATGGGAAAACCAGCATGAAAAGGTTATTAAATAAAAACTAAAACAAGATGTAAAAAGACATTTTAGTTAAAATTTTAAAAAAATCTGAAATCATACAGAAACCTCTGTTCAGAAAAGAGATTAAAGGGCTACCTTTTGTCAGTTTTCAAGCAGTAAAGTTGGCTTTGGAATGAATAAACTGGATCTTCACACATATCAAAATGATATTCTCAAGAAAAATATGCCATCCTTCTGTAACTTTGCGGCTTTGGCGGAGGCGTGTGGTCTCAGGAGTTTCTGTTTAACATGTTTTTATGTTTTCTGCTCGGCAGCCCGACACCGTGTGCGCTGAAGGTCGCCGATAAGATTGCAGAGCAGTTTGACAATCCAGTTTTATTAATGGTAAGAAAAACAGAAGTAAAATTGTTTTATCGGCTGTCTCTTACCTGCTGGTTTAACCTGGACATATTTCTATTGCTGGTAAGCAGGCTTTCAGAAATAAGTTAAGCTTAGCTGTGCTGTCTGTTTAATAAAGTAGTTCAGGATGATTTTTTTTAAATTTTTTCTTACAGCTCGATGGCAGTAAGATGTCTCCAGACTATCGGGTTCCTCCCATCGTGATGTACGAGCGCAAAGACTCAAGATGGATACTCAAAGACAAACACACGTAAGAGCATGAATGACCAGATCCCAGCAAACTGCACGTTTATGTGGGACACGCTGTGAAAGCTGAGCAGCACGTCTGTTTTTTTTATTTTTGCGCCTGAATTCTGTCTGAAAACTACACTCACCTGTTCCTTTTTTCCTCTGTCCTGTTCAGGATAATGCTGAGACAGTGGGAGGAGACTCGGGCCATAGCGAGCCAGATGATGGAGTCAGGTGATCACACGCTATTGGTGGATTTTGACAGCCACCTGGACGACATCACAAAAGACTGGACCAATCAGAAACTTAACACCAAGATAGAGGAACTCGCCTCGCCGGCCAACGGAAACATCTAGACTGAAGAGTAGCATCACTTTTTCTGCACAAATGTGATTTTTACAGAACAACGCACACTCGACACCGAGTTTAAGGAGACGTTTATTTTTTTCCGAGTGAACAAGAACATATATGCATAAATAACAATATTTACATCTCACTAGTTTCCCGCCCACCCCAGAGTGTGCCTTGTGGTCCATCCCAATACCCTGCTCATTTAAAGGACACTTCCACCTTAAAGTCCTCCTCTAACACTACTACAACATATAGATATGTTCCCCCTCTTTCCCTTAGTTTATGCATTAGTATGATTCCAGCAAACTATACATGAAACAGGATGGACAAAAGGACAAAAATGCCTTACAATACTAAAATCCTGCAGTAAATACCAAGCTAGATGAAGCTCAAAATATTTGTTTTTCATTAGGTTTGATTTAAAAGGAACTCTCAAGTTTGTGGTTTTGACTTTGGGAAGACTTAAAGTAATATATTAAAAATAAAATGGGGAGGGGGGTACATCCACCCTTTAACACCGTGCAGATGTGTTTGTTATGACTCCAATGCCTCGTGCGGGCACTTACACTGTAAAGAACTGGTTAAATAGAGTTGTGACATTACAAATATAACAGTTGACCATTCAAATAAACTCCCTGTCAAAGTTTATACTGTTTAGTGTCTTTATTCTGTGTTGTTACCTTAAATCCTCAATTAAAGCGTGTTTTTGCAGCTGTTCTTGTTATTTGCTGTTCAGCAAATACCTGCCAAGCTTCTGCAGCAGGTGCTACAAAAATAACATGAGTCTAGAGGAAATTTCTTCTAAATCATTTTAACTTCAGGAAAGAGGAACAATGTGTTGCAAGTTTGGGAAACCTGCCTTACAACGTGTCAAACGGAGGCTGCCTTAGCCAAATATTCAGAGCTTCTCCTCCCTGTGTTCACTGCAGAACTTTTGTATTGAAATGTGTGTTTTGTTCGTCCTTCACAAACCCCCAAAGAAAAGCTGAAAGTTTAACTGTTAACAGGCATCTAAAATGAATACAACGGTGCAGCTGTCTAACAGCGCACAGTCCTGTAAATCGTGAAAGTTTCTCACTGTAAATGGTTAAAAAATAAATGCGCTGAATGTGATATTCCTGACTGACCTGCTCCAGGGTGACACGCTCCTCCTTTCTCATCTCCAGTTTCAGTTTTTGTCTATTAAAAGATGACCATTTAAGACACATTTGTAAAAAATGTTTTTAACTACAAAACCCTAATGGTATAAAGGACACATCTGCACTGGATCTGAAAAGACTTGACGGCAATATAGTAAAGATAAAGGTGCTTTACAAAATAGTCTACCGAACTACTGCAGGCTATTATGATGCTTTTTTCCCTTTTGATTGTACAGTGAAACTTCTATCTAGTCCTGTGGTATAAACAATTTTCATCAACACAACTTAAGCAGCGTCTACAGTACTAAATGGCTCCACCCCCAATCCCTAACCAAAACAATAGACTTATAATATCTAAAATGACCCAATAGTTAATGAGAGGAATTTACAGGAAGATGATTGCTCAGCTCTGATCGGCATGCTGCTTACATCACATTCTGAGATGCACGATGAATATAAAAAGCTTCCAAGTGTTGGCTTACATGTAGTGTTACCAGTACACTAACTAATATCTAAAATGAAAAAGAAGGTGCACCCCAAAACTGATATTAAAGAGGACCAATTAATGCTTATTTCCAACTCTGTTTTTACTCCGGGAGCTTTGCATGATTCACAGTTCAAAATAAGTCCTATTTGTTTTACAGGACGTCTTGCAGCAGCGTCAAAAGGTGCAGTTCCTTTAATGGCCACTTGAGGCTGCTGGTTACAAAAGGGAGTCAATCCCCGCGTTAAAATTCTCAGCTTTACGCCACCTGAAAGCATAAAAACAGCCTGAGACAAAAAGTACTTTAGTCTGAATGGAAAGTTTCTCCTGTAAACGCGATCTTTTGTTCTCTTAGCATTTTTAGCATTGTTGATGCTATTGTCTGATAAAGAATACAGCCTGTTGTGAGGCACAAGTCTGTGCTACGGTTTTAGTCACTCCACCCTCTTATCCAAATGCTCCTCCCTCTTCAAGCCAGCTTTTTTTCTGATTGGCTGCCCCTCTTAAACAGCCCTCACTGGAAACAGGAGCTGCAGGTTCCTGTTTGCAGTGAGGGCTGTTTCTGTGCTAACGGTCAAAACTATGTGTGTGATATGACAGTATTGGGTAAATCTACTTTTGTTTGAAACTGAGTTTGTCAAACTTTTTTCATATGGGTTTTGACCACTGTGGCAAAAAATAAGGAAAAGCAGAATAGGTCCCCTTTATATTAGTTCACCATTTGATTTCCTATTTCTCTTAAATGCTATGCATCTGTTTCTGTGCAACGTGTTTGGGCAATATGAAAAAAACCAAACAATTACCACAGAAAATAACTGCAGGTTCCTGTTTTGTTATCTTATTATAATCTGTCTTAATTAGAATAATAAAAGAAAAAAATCCTTCTAGCTGTCGGATTTATAATAAGGGGGAAATGTGTCTTATTTTTCAAATGCCACCCATCAAAGTGCTTAGAAAGTCCCGCAGCCGATGCTCTAGTTGGTTGGCGAAGGCACCGTGACGAGGTTCAGGGTTATTTCTCCCAGCGGGGACTGGCTGGCCAGAGACTGGAGGATGGTGATGGATTCAAAGATGGACTGAGCGTTCTGTACCTGCTGTTCTTCCCACGGTAGAGTGATCTGCAGAGGAAAGAGCAGTAAAGGCAGTTTTTACCATTTACTGAAATCAGACGGACTGAGCGTTCTGGACCTGCCGTTGTTCCCATCGTAAAGTAATCTGTAGAAGAGAGAGTAGTGAAGGTAGTTTTTGTTAGTTACTCAGATCTCCTGTGTTGGAGCTGCGGATTTCTCCACATTTAAAGGTCCCTAAAAATGAATTTTAGAACTGTTTTTAACGCTTCCCTTTCAGCTGATTGGCTTCCCCTCACAAGCAGAAGGTTTGAACAGCATGTGGGGGGGGGGGGTTTCTATACCTGATATAACCAGTTATGAGGGCTAGCCCCTGTCTGACATCACAAAGAGCCAAAAATGGGGCATTCAGAGCAGTGTGAACCCTGAGCTTTTGGATGAGGGGTGTGCAAGTCCACTTTAACGAATCACAAAAAGGAGAGCAGGGAAGAGGGCACCAGTTAAGCACAAGTTGTTACAGAAGAATAAATAAGTTAGGTGTCACTAAAATCACATGTGAGTAACAATCCCTGCACCTGAAGGGTGATTTAAAAGAATCTCATGTAGAAAAATGAATACTGGTGACAATTAAAGGACAAAGAAAGGAAACTTTTCTCTAGTTACAGTTTTCAATAATCCAGTGTGTGGTTTACCTGAAATTCCCTGGAAAATCCCCACCACAGAAAAAACATACTGCTGAGTGTGTGTGGTTTACCTGAACAATGATCAGCTTTTGGAAAGGGTCCTCTGAGTCACTCAGCTCTTCTCCAAAACACAGGGTGAAGCCACACTGGGGAGGCTCGCCGCCATTTGTACGGAAGTAGTCCAACTCTGATGATTGAGGAGGGAAGGGGCGGGCGTTTATTAGCGCTTCATGTAAAATTATCAGCTCAGGGCAAAAAACAGCCCTGCAGTGAATCTTTGCTCATGACATTTAAAATCAAAATTCCAGTTGGACAATTCCAACCAAAGACTAAAGTTTTTTGAAGATTGGACCTTATTATCATGAAAACTCACTAAAATTAAAAAATAACATGCACTTAACATTGATTTTTCAGTCTTAAACAGCGCTGCCAGATGTATAATGAACATGCGTATTGTGTTTCCAAGTGTGGGAGGATTGATTGCCTGCTACGGTAAAGAAAGAGCTGAGAATGAAGGGAAAGCAGCTTATTTACTGCTCGACCTGCATTCCTACCCTCACCTATCGCTACGAGCTGGCTTCATCTGAGTTATTTGGGAGACGCGTATTCCCAGTGACGTACCAGCCTGTAACACCGTTCAGGAGCAGCCCTCCACTTCACGTTGCTGAAAACTGCACTATTTTTAAATGTTTTTATTTTTTCCTGTAGTCAGGTCAAGCTGCACAGAGCAGGTAAGGAACGCGACAAGTCAAACACAGAACTGAATTAGCAGCTTTTCAAAATAAAAGATCCTGAACACCCTTAGTTTAAGAACAAAGTGTGTTGGAGACACGTAAACGGTGTTCTCCTGGAGTCAGACTAAAGCTGCTGCTGGGTATGGCATGTGTCCAATTGGGAGGATGACATGCTGCAGAGATTATGTGCATCTGCTGTGTTTGAAAGGCTTCTGCATTTCCTCAAAGGAGAGCTGGTCGCGGGCATCTCTGGTTAGACTGCTGCCCAGACAAGCACCAGGCAACGGTTTTATCCAATAACACGAAACAAGGCAATTTGATAGCAGTGTTATTATCGATCGTGAGCTAACCATGTCAGCAGTGCATTAGAGCAAAATGATCCTGGATGACCCGTCAATTATCCAATCACAGCTGCAGACTGGCGCCAAACCATGTTTTGGTGGCAAAAACACACTTAGTTCATAAAACAGTGATGGCAATGAGTCTGTGATACTTCAGTTAATAAACACTAATTCAAAAAACTAAAGACAGATTTTGATTAAAGTCCTGGTGAGTCCTTTTTTTCCTGCAGAGTACATATTAGCTTCACTGCGCAGACATTCAAGCTCTTGCTGTGATAACATCTGTGTGATAATTTGTTCTGCAGCATCTGGCAGGGCTGTTAACAAATATCAACACGCTCATTTCTGACTTACGTTGCTTGAAGATTTCTTTATTGAAAAGGAGCACCGGCTCTGTGTTCCTCTCCATCTTGTGCAGGTCCGGCATGGTCGTGTGCGGCCCCGTCCAGAAGACCCGCCCCTGACAGAACCTCTTGCCGTAAACTCCCTGCGGAGTGGAGGTCAGCACCACCCCTTTCTCCATGAAGGGGAGCAGGGTGAAGAGGGCCTGCAGCTCCGGACCGGCCGGCAACGTGGAGGGCGGCTCGGGTAGCGGGATGCGTGGGAACCTGGCTTTCAGGACGAGTGGCGTGGGGGGAATAGGCGAGGAGGGCAGGTACATTATTCGCACATCGGTGCCCTGAATCTGACGTTTGAGCACCTGCTGTCCTAAATAGTAAACTGCCACACTGAAGGAGTCCTGGGCTGTAGAGATGGAGACAGAGGAGTCGTTATCTTCTCGAGCCAACAACACTCAGTGTTTTCACAGCAGGTCGTGACTGGGTTCATGACTCTGAACCCAGCATATCACAGCCTGCTCAGCTGTAAATGCTTTATTACCTCCTACGGGAGCGGTCACACTCTCCTCAATCCGCACGTCCAACCTGATCTCATCGACCGCTGAAGGGACATAAAACAGTTACATCAGCGGCTTCTTTTGGTCGCCTGTGAGTTTGATTTGTTAGTTGAAATGTAAACACATGATGAAATAAGAACACAAGGTTACACTGCAGTAATCCATTTGCTTCACAATGTGCGTGTGTAGGCTTGTATGTTACTTCTTTGTAAAGTTTGTTTAGTTTTTACTGCCTTAACCCTCTCGAGGCAGGCGTTGCCGATTTGCAACAGCTACAAACTAACAACATGATTACCCCACACACA